CTGCACCGAGGTGGGACCACCGGCGGCTCAAATGGAGACGGCAGTCTTGAGAGAGCAGGTGGGGATTTGGGAGAGGAGTGCAAGGAGCCGTCCTGGCAGGCACAGAGACCTGGAGTGAGCGCTGACATTGGAAAGTGTCCAGGTAGCGAGTGGGTGGTAAGCTGGTGTCTGCGGGAGGGACCCCTGAAATCCAGAGTTTGTCTTTGGGTGATGTCACTGAAGGGGTAAATATTTTGGCTGGGTTGGCAGGAGTGATCCAGCAAGAATGGATGAGGCTTGAATTAAAGTGATGGAGGGAGAAGGAGGAGTTTGAGAGAGACCGAGAGGTAACATTGTCACAGCTGGTGTGCTGTGGTTCTGGCAGAGCTGTCCAGTGGATGGTTAAGAAAGAGGAAGGTGACAAGGCTGCTGGCAAGTCAGCGGGGCACTCAAAGAGGACCTGGGCTCCAGGCATCCTTCCCAGGGGAGAGCTGGAGCTGTCAGTGGGCTGAAGGCCAGCAGGCAGGGTGGGCAGGCTGGCCCGTGCTGGGGGCTCCCAGTCAGCCGCCTTCTCTCTCAATAGGAGGATGCAAAAACCTTCATCACCCGAGAGAACCTTGATGCTCGGATAGAAGCAGCGTTGGACTCCCCAAAGAGCTACAACTGGGCCATCACCAAAGAGGGACAGGTGGTCAGGCCACAGCACAAGGGCAACTAAGGGCCCAGTAAGGACAGTGCCTGCCCAGGGACTGTGTGTGTATACGGGTATGACCTGGGATAAAACAGGTGTTTCTTCTGAAGAAGGAAGCTCAACCTGTTCCATTGTGGCCCTCTTGTTTTGGCCTCTGCATCTACCACTTGACCAGTGCCCTTTTCTGCCCCATGTACAACTGTCAGCACAGCACTAGACCCTAAGGTTTCCATCTTACAGAGGGGCAGACTGGACCATAGGCGTGAGGTCATCTCCTGAGTATCATCGAGGGTGATCAGCAGTTGGCAAATCTGGTCTACTACCTGTTTTTGTAAATAAAGGTTTGTTTGAATACAGCCACACCCATTCATTGACTACTTGGGTGCTACAATGGCAGAGATGATTACTTGCAACAGGGACCATATATGACTTGCAAAGTCTAAAATATTTGTTAATATGGCTTTTTAAAAATATATAAAAATATATTTTTTAAATTGATTTCAGAAGGGGAGAGAGAGAGAAACATCAATGATGAGAGAAAATCATTGATCAGCTGCCTCCTGCACGCCCTTTACTGGGGACTGAGCCCACAACCCAGGCATATGCCCCTGATCAGAATTGAACCCGGGACCCTTCAGTCCTCAGGCTGACACTCTATCCACTGAGCCAAACTGCTAGGGCTGTTATATGGCTTTTACAGAAGAAGTCTGCTAACCTCTCATCTAGGGTTTTAGGGATCCAGCCAGGAGCAGCTATCACAGGGTACCTGAAACACAAGCCAACCGTTGGCCAAAGACCTGTTTCTGCTTGACCATGGGCTTTGGATCTGGTGGCTCAAGACACAGAAGGCAAGGTGGAGACCCCGTTTCTTCTAGTAGCCCTTTCCACCCATGGCCTCAGTGACCTGCATCTATCCTGGCACTGCCAGCCTCCTTGGACCACCCAGCAGATGGGTGCTGGCAGGGGAGGCCTGTTTGATCCAGGCTTTACAAGGTCGGTGTAATTTGTCAAGCACCTGGATCAAACCCTGAGGGTACCAGGAATACTCGTGGTTAAAGTTCACAAGATTGAATAAGTGAATATACAGATCCATTGCCCCTGTTCATACAAGCTCTCGAGCAACATCTGGGTTGAGGTTGAAGAGCTGCAGCCCCTTTGTCACCGTTCACTTGAACTTGCCCAGATACCACAGGAGGACAGAATCCCAGCTTCTTTTCCTGAACTCCCACATTGTAGAGAGGGTCTGGGAACACCCAAGAAATGAAAACCTTTTAGAAAACATGGGCACCCCCACACACACATTCAGGTGAGGACGCAGGTAACAGGTATGAGCTTAGAGCCAGTGGTTATTGTGCCTTGCACCCCTCAGAGCAATAGCCTCCTTCCTCAGGCTGGTAATAGCCCTTTTCCCTGGTACTAAACCTGGGCACAGCACAGTGGAGTCCTTTCAGATGCTCAACATAACTTCTGGGGTGAGCTGATGGACACATTGTGGGCCATGGATTGGCAACTGTGCCCACAGTCTTGGACTTGATTGTGAGGAGTGGACAGAACGTCTGGTCCCCTGCAGTGGAAGCCTTGGTGAGCTTTCACATGGGCCCCTGGGCCTGTGTTAGGAAGTCCAGTTTCATTCTTCCCAAGTCTCTTCCCCTCTGCCTCAGGCTGTAGACACAAGTGGTCTGTCTTTAAGTAGAGGAGATGGTGTGATCCGTTCTTGAAGTTCTGCCTTTGGGCTGCTTTCCCCTCACTGCTGTTGAGCATCCTGCATGGGCTGTAACTCCTTGACGTTCACTGCTGATACCAGTGTGTCGTGCAGAGCCACCTCTAAACCAAGCTTCGTTTTTATCCACCTATAGTCAAAAAAAAAATTGATATTTTTTTTCTTTACCCCCAGGAACTTTGCTGGGTAGGCACTTTTCCCCCAGGATTTATCTCCCCAATTAAGCATAGATGTTTTACCAAGACACCTGGATTCTTGCCCCTTCCAATTCTCCAGGATAAGTAGCAGCACATCAATGAAGTGGACCACCGTGATGTCCTGGGGGTGGGTAGTCGGGGTCTTGAAGATGAAGTTGTACAAAACTGTAGAGTTGTTCACCACTTGGACTGGGTGGTGATGATATACTGCCAGGTGAAGGAGCACTGCCTGTAGTGGTCCAAGTAGGCAGGAAAAGAGCAGAATATTTGCCACATGCATGGGTGCTGGGTACCTCCTTCATCTACTCCTCATGGAGCCACACTGGGCCTACGTAAGCCCGAAGTCATTCCCATGGTTTTCCAGTATACTCCAAATTTTCTGCATGGAATACAGTCACAGGTACACAATATTCCTTGAGAGAGCACACTTTCCGTTTTCTATGGAAGATTGTTACCCAACTAGAGCTGCAGCACAGGAGCAGAGCCCTCTCACTGGGCTGAAACTAACACCAGAGTGGTAACACCTGCGCCATAACACTGGACTTCTTCTCTGGAGCCACCTCACAGCCACAGCCCCGCTGCAGCTGTTTCACAATTGAACTGTTTGCATGAATAAAGCATCTCTCCCCTCACCACATGGAAATTGGGGTTCCTGTTAGCACTGAATTGGCAGCAGTGACCTTCGGTTGACACAAGTAAATGCAATGAAGCTTTTATGTGCTATGGGAAAAGTCTGGAGTAAAACAGGTTTATAAAGAAGGGTGGGACTGAAAATCGGATGGGACAACAGGGAGTCAGATGCTGGTCAATGGAGGAGAAGAGGCCTGAAGTCAACCTAGAGAATGTGCTGGTGTTCATCAGGAAGTAAAGGTTGTGCAGGCCCTCAAAGGGGAGCCACGTGAGCCAGGCACAGTGCTAGGGAACATTAGAAGGACTCGGTACTTCACTGTTATGTGAGCATAAGATATAAGAAGAGCTGGCTTCAGTGAGCTATGATGCTAGAGAGGAGAGCATGAGTCAGAGCAGAGAGCCTTGTAGATTAGGTTGAAGTTAAACAAACTCATAGAAACCAAGCAGAATGGTGGTTGTCAGGGTATGGGGAGATGGGGAAATGTTGGTCAAAGGGTACACACTTCCAGTTATAAGATGAATACCTTCTGGGGATCTAAGTATAGCATGGTGACTATGGTTAACAACACTGTATTGTGTGCTTGAAAGTTGCTAAGAAAGTAAATCTTAATGTTATCACCACACACACACAAGTTCCCCCTGAACTTAACCTCTGGTTACTTCCCTGACATACGTGTAGAGGTGAAATAAATACCTAGGAAACGAGCTCAGTTCACTGCTGAAATATGGGCAATTCTGGCAGGAAGAGTCAAGCTTGGAACTCTTTCTTCCTACCCAAGTCAAAAGCACTTTTTGCAACCCCCAAATCCTGAGGAAGACAGGCCCAGTAATGATGCTGGTCATTTCTTTCATGGTGAATATTTCCTCAGTATGGGTAAGTGCTTAAACCATAGATTTGAAGCTTAATGAATTATTTTGAAGGGAGCATCCATGTCAAGAAACAGAACACCATCTGGATCAAATTCATAGTTAAGTTTACAAGGCCTTGAGGTCAAGAACCTGTAAGGAAGGATCCCACTGCATTGCCACAAAAGGCAGTAGAGGGACCTGAAGGAGCTCAGAGCTGCACAAACCCACCCTCACCAGGACTCCACGGTGGCTCTGGGGGTCACATATCCAATACTTTTTTCCAAATGTTTGGGCATTGCCCCTCGCTGAGGGCAAAACACAGTTAAGTCATTGACAGTCTTTGGAAAGTTGTGTTACATTTCACACTGAGAGTACATGTATTAAAACCAGACAGTGAAACAAGGGAGGGCTTAGGATGGAAGCAGCAGGAGGGAGCTAAGAGGCACTGCGTTGGCTCACGGAGAAATGTCACAGTGACAAGTGAGCCAAGGTGGGGCTGCTATTGGCTCACTGAAGAGCAGGAGAAAAGGGGGCCTTGAGACAGGCACAGGGGGTTAGCTTGAAACGAGCTGCCCCCACCCACTGCTCCCCTGGTTGCCAGTCTCCTGGGGATCATAGCGTTTAGGAGATGCACAGCAGAGAGGGAAGAAAGGCATAGGGGAGCCTATATTTCACGCTTTTTTTAAATATATATTTTATTGATTTTTTTACAGAGAGGGAAGGGAGAGAGGAAGGGAGGGATAGAGAGTTAGAAACATCGATGAGAGAGAAACATCGATCAGCTGCCTCCTACACACCCCCTACTGGGGATGTGCCCACAACCAAGGTACATGCCCTTGACCGGAATCGAACCCGGGACCCTTGAGTCCGCAGGCCGACACTCTATCCACTGAGCCAAACCGGTTAGGGCCACACTTCTTTTTAAAAAATATTTTTTTATTGATATCAGAGAGAAGGGCATGGGAAGAGAGAGATAGAAACATCAATGATAAGAGAGAGAATCATTGATTGGCTGCCTCCTGCACACCCCCTACTAGAGATCAAGCCTGCAACCCAGGCATATGCCCTTGACCGGAATCAAACCCAGGACCCTTGAGCCAAACTGGCTAGGGCTATTTCACACTTCTTAAAAATTTTATCTTTATTGTTGAAAGTATTATAGATGTCCCCCCTTTTTTTCCCATTGACGCCCCTCCACCCTGCCCCCGCCCCCGCCCCTCCCAGGCCTTCACCACACTATTCTCTGTGTCCAAGGGCAATGCATATAAGTTCCCCCAGTTAATCTCTCCCATTTCACACTGTTTTATTTTTCCTTTTAAATGCTAGCCACTGAGGGAGAGAGATGGTCTGAGAGTGGGATTTTGTGTCTGGGAAATTCGTAACTGAGATATAAACGTCAACCATGGAGCACACACCTTTGCTGTCTGCCAGAGCCCGCAAGGTGCTGGCTGACCTGCTGCTGCTGTTGGAAGGAACCCCACGGCCCTGGCTGGAACCCCAAGCCACACTCATCTGCCACTGCCGCTGCCACTGCCAGAAGTCCTCAGACCTCAGAAGCAGAGGGATCCGAGGGTTCGCCCTTCCTCTGGCCTCAACAACAAATCTTTTGCCGGTGACTCCTAGGGTGTTGCCATAATAGAAGCCAGGTGGCCAGGAAGTCTGGGGATCACAGTGTACAGGCCTCCAGCCTCCTGTGGAGCTGTAGGCTTTGGATGAACAACCGTATAAATCGATTTTTTAGAGGCACTGTTTCTCACAATTTACAGTATTTAGAGTGGGATAGAATTGTTTTATGGGGACTTTTAGAATAAGGTGAAATGAAATTTGAGACAGTAATATATTTTGACAATTCGGGATTTTTACTTTCTGAAAATCTACAAAAGTTATCTTTAACTACAAACATAGCATATCACTAACATGTCTTTTAATTTGAAAAATATTCTTATATTTTTTTACTTAA